ACTCTTGCTTATATAAAGTATGTTGACTTGATGATCTCCATCTTATCTGTTTAGAGCTACATTTTGCTTACCTCAATGAGATGTAGCATATCAGTAGAAGGCCTGCAGTTAAGATGTTACTCTTGCCCCTAAGTAATTAATATAATTCTTAAAACATGAATCAAAATTGATACTGAGAACTTGTAGCTTAAATGAAACAATTTTCATTTGCTGATATTTTCATTAGAAGTTTTCATAGGAATTTTTATGATTAAAATACTATATTTATAATAGCAATCCTAGCATGGCACTGTAGGTTAATGAGGTGGACTGCAAAGTCAGTGTGAACCACAAGGTCAGTGGCTCACCAGCCACTCCTCAGAAACCCTCTATAGGGTCGCTGTGTGTTAGAACTGACTCAGCGACACTTCACAACAACATATTTGTGATTATACATCATGTCCCTGGAGTATTTATATCCTTGACCCAGTTTGTTGTATTGCCATACATACTCATTTTTTGACTGAAGCGTGAAAACTTTTTATTTAGGCATATGTATTCCAGAAAACCCAATGCAAACTAATTACAGAATGGATCCAATGAGAATAATTTTCTTTAAAAAAAGTTTTTTTTAAGTGAAAAAAATTAAAAGGTTTTTACTTCAATGAAATTTATCATATTTTCATTAACTGCGTATTCATTCATTTAACAAATATTGTTTGAGCCTGTTATGTATGTGTCAGGAACAATGTTCCTATGGTAGGAACAATGCTAAATGAGTAAAATGTGATTATCCACATGGAACAAACAGTCCAGCTTTATTCAGTATTCACCATAGAAAGTGTTTGAAGAATGTGCTTAATGAAAATATCACATCACACACGTCTTTAATCCACAAATTCAACTCTGCAGAAACTTCAATTAGATTTGGTTTCAATTATTCAATTAACTTTCTATTTTGAGTCCTAATTCTATCTGGATAGTAAAAATGTTGTAAAATTCATTGTTTAACTCTGAATTTCCCATTGCTCAGTTTGGGGTCTGTTCCAGTATCAAAGGGGCTTATATATAATGGCAGGTATGGAGAAATGGGGCAATCTGGTGTGTATAATTTGTCATTTAAGTCTTCCTGCTTGCGTAACCCTTTTTACTTACGCGTTTCTTAGGTTGATGTCCACATTTCTTTTTCACCCTTTTTTCCCCTACCTTTCTAATTTAATTTGGGCACCTTGTTTTGTATATATTAGGACTAATTTCAGGTTTACTGATACTTTCCTTGACTATGTCAAATCCACTGATAAATCTTTCCAAGATATTCTTTGTTTCTGTTATTACACTGTTTATTTCTAACATTTCCATCTCTGTTGAAATTCCTGATTTGTTCATACATGTTGTCCATCTTTTCTTTGTTCTATTATTCATATATATTTTTTTCCCTGCCTGATAATTCTAGCAGTTCATTTGGGTCCTGTTGATTATCTTGTCTCTTGACAGTGAATTTGGGTTTTTTTTGCCTTGCTTTTTTGTGTTTCATGATTTTTTGTTGAACTTTGGGTATAATTTATAGGGTAGTAGAACTTGGAGTCTTGGTTAAGCACTGAATTGCTAGCCACATGGTCAGTTGCTCCCTGGCACCCCTATACAGGGCCGCTATAAGTCAGAACCAACTTCACAGCACTTAACAGCAACAAGCTTGCACTAAGTAGTATTTACCTTTAGAAGGGGACATGCCTCTCTTCTGCGAGTGCCTAGCAAGTCTTAATGTTCGTGTTCTACTCTTAGCCTTAGACTTTCCCTGTGAGCTTGTGCTCCGTGCTCACAAATTCCCTCCCCACTGGTAGGTAGATTGCCGTTACCTCATTCTTGGGGTTTACAGCCTGGTCAGGGAGAGGAGCAGCATAGTCAGCCTTATGGGCTCTTATGTTCCTAAGTCTCAAGAAGGAATTTTTGTTTGCTGGTTTTCTATTCTATTTATCTTCTAAATTCTTGATATAAAGAATATTATGAGATAAACTTCAGTTTTTATTATGTTCAACTTTTGACAGAGGAGACCTTGCCTATTTTGATGGACTTAGTGAAACTATTCTTGCTGTGGGACTTGTGAAACCAAAAGCTGGTAAGAAATAAAAATATAAGGATGTGATTATGTTTTTGGATGTACATAGACTCCAAATGTTTTAGAACTGAATGAAAGAACTTTTTATTGTGAATTGGATGAAGGTTTATAGAACAGATCAGTTATCCATTTAACAACTCATTGAAACACATTTTGTTTCATCTCATTGATTGCAGTCTCCACCATATAGCAACACCTCTCCGACTTCCTTCATGATACCACATTCAGTAGTTGCAATTTCTAATGAGTTTTTGTTCTGAATTCTAATTGTTAAGTGCTATTGAGTCTGTTCTGACTCACTGTGACCCCGTATAGGGTTTTCCAGGTGCAGGCGGTAGTTTGAATTGCCAATCTTGAAGTTCAAACTGACCTTGTGGGCCAGTCAGTCCTAAAGAGCCACAAATCATTAGCAATATTTAACATGGTCACGCCAGACCAGTTTAATCAGGTACAGCCTGCTCTAGACCGGAGTCCACTGAAAAGTAAGTAATGGACTGCTAACCATAAGGTCAACAGTTCCTCTCCTAGGAAACCCTATACAGGGGTCACTCTGAATCAGAACCAACTCCACAACACTTAACAACAATTCACTGTAATGGTATAAGTGGGTCTTCCCTTAAAGATGTTAAACTATATTTCTTGCATTTTTATCTGGCCTACTTTTTGCTACTTTTTTATTTACTGAAAGTGTTTGATTTCATTGTAGTATTTCACCGATTACTGAATTTGTTGTAAAAACATTTTCATCTCTGCATTGTTGTTTTTTTTTTGTAGTCCAATTCTATACCCAGTTTTTAAGATAATAATAGCCTTGCTAAATTTTATAATAAAAAGTGACTTCTTTTGCACATAGCATAGAGAAAATACTTCAGGTAAGACTTTTGTTAGGGGAAAATAAATATTTGTAAAGATTTTAAATCAGTTTATTTTGAAGAATTATTTATTTTGAGGTCATTAAAGTAAAAGTTATGCACTTTTAGCTTTATTGATTTTGAACAGCAACAGAAAAGATGTGGCTTTTGTGCCCTTTGACATTTATATATGAAAGTAAAGCTTAATGAGGATCGAAGCTTTGTTGTATTATCAGTGTCTGGCAGCAACCTTAAGTGGCCAGATGTACACACACTAAGGTGATGTCCATAATCAGTGAAAAGGCATATTCCCATGTGTTCTTCTCATTGTTATTATTTAGTGCTGTCCAGTTGATTCCAACTTTCAGTGACCCTGCATACAGTTTCTGAGAAGCAGCTGGTGGGTTTGAACTATTGTTAGCAGTCTAGTGCTTTTTCCTACAATGCCACTCAGATTCTTAGCGAGACACTGTATTTGACTGTCATTGCAGGATGGCAGTAATAGTTGTACATAGCATCTCATGCCATGTCATTCTTTCAAAAATGCATCAGTATCTTGGCATAAATTAACATAATTTTTTAAATACTCAAATTTAGAAGGAAATTTCTTTTGTATTTGTCTGATTTTGAATGTTGTTGTTGTTGTTATATGCCGTGAAGTCAGTTCTGACTCATAGCGATCCTGTACAGGGTTTCCGAGGCTGTAAATCTTTACAAGAACAGAAAGCCTCACTTTCTCCCATGGAACAGCTGGTAGTTTCGAACAGCTGACCCTGAAGTTAGCAGCCCGATTCATAACCAGTATGCTACCAGAGCTCCTTGTTTTGAATAGCAAAAAAAGAAAAGAAAAAAAAAAAACTGATTTGGAGAATAAATTCATTTTTCTCTGGAATATGAACATATATGTATAAATTTACCTCTAGATTATATCCAGGTCCTAATATTTACCCCAATAGATAATTAATTATATGCCTAAATTTTGTTTCCTGTGCCTTATTTCTAAAATTAAATCTATCTATATCTTGTTGCTGGGCACTATGGAGTCAGTACCGATTCATAGCGACCTTAAGCACAACAGAACGGAACTCTGCCAGGTCCTGCACCAATCTCTTCGTTGTGATTGTTAGGTGCCATTGAGTTGGTACTTACTCATAGCAACCGTATGCACAACAGAAGGAAACACTGCCCAGTCCTGGGCCAACCTCACAGTTGTTGCTACTCCTGAGCCCTTTGCTGCCACCACTGTGCCAGTCCGTCTCGTTGGGGTCTCCCTTTCTTACTCCTACAGTCCATTTTACTAAACATGATATCCTTCTCCAGGCACTGGTCCTTCATGATAATATGTCCAAACTATGAGACACAAAGTTGGGCCATCCTGGCTTCCAAGGAGCACTCTGGCTGCACTTCTTCCAACACAGATCTGTTTGTTTTCCTGGCAGTCCATGGTACTTTCAATATTCTCCAACACCAGAACTCAAATACATAAATTCTTCTAGTCTTCCTTATTCACTGTCCAGCATTCACATGCATATGAGGTAGTTGAAAATACCATGACTTGGGTCACGTGCACCTTAGTCCTCAAACTGACATCTTTGCTCTTGAACACTTTAAAGGGTTCTTGTGCAGCAGATTTGCCCAGTGTAATACATCATTTGATTTGGCTACTGCTTCCATGAGTGTTAATGGTTGATCTGAGCAAAATGAAGTCTTTGGCAACTTCAGTCTTTTCTCCATTTATATGGATATTGCTTATTTACTTTTAATAATGCTTAATGCTTTTATATTTTAACACTGATTCTAAATAGTATTCTGTACTGAAGTGATTATTTCTTAAGATTTTTTTTTAGTACTATTTACTTATTTCAGTGATCACAGATAGTTTTAATTTTTGGGGGGATATTTTTAAGTGTCTATCAAAATTACTTGGATTTGCCTGTACTATGTAATATCAGCAGTTCATTTTAATGGTAAAACAATATTCAGTTAATACTTAATTACTGGATGTTTTTCTGAAAATAATTCCTACCCGTATTTACTTGATTTTAGGTATCTTTCAGCCTCATGTACGACACCTCTTAGTTTTAGCAACTCCTGTGGATATAGTGATTCTTGGACTCAGCTATGCTAATCTACAGACAGGTATGACAACCCACATTTTTGTTTGTTTTCCCTTTTTAATTAAAATAAGTTGGCCAGTGCATTATTATAACTTAAAACACATCTGTTTCACAAAGTTGAATTTCCAGGCATCATGCACACAAAACTCAATCTTTTACCTAGAGGTTGTTGTTGTTATGTGCTGTGGAGTCGGTTCAGACTCACAGCGACCCTGTACAGGGTTTCCGAGGCTATAAATCTTTACAGGAGCAGAAAGCCTCCTCTTTCTCCCATGGAACAGCTGGTAGTTTCCAACTGCTGACCCTGAGGTTAACAGCCTGATTTGTTACCACTACACTACCAGAGTAATAGAAGAGAATACCAGAATACCAGGGTAGTAGAAGAGAAATAATTGGTGCTAGTGAGCTTCTTAATAATGTGATATATTTCTTTGTTTTTAATTTTTCTAATGATAATTTTAACATAGGAGCACTGAAATGTAATTTGCTATCTTTTTTATCTGTAAAATAAGATGCTCTTAATTTATTACATATACAAAATGGACAGTGGTTTCTTTTGTATTCTGATTATATGTTTGGGTGAAATAGTGTTCAATTTCAGTTACTCATTACTTGTATGTCCTCAGGCTTTTTTCCAAAAGGTAATCATTTGGGTTAGTTTTTTTTTTGATGTTTTACTATGTTGTGTGTGTAAGCAGTTCTGGTGGGGAAGTGGTTTAAGCCCTTAGCTTAATGGAAAGGTCTGTGGTTCAAACCCAGCAGCCTAGTTAGTGGGAGAAAGATGTGTCAGACTGCTTCCATAAAGATTTACAGACTAGAAAACCCTATGAGGCAGTCCCACTCTGTCCTATAGAGTCCCTGTGAGTCTGGATCAGCTCCATGGCAGTGGATTTGGGTTTTTTTTTGGGTTTTTATGTGTGCATTTTATAACTCAGACTATCCAATTATTTATATCTAAGACTTTCTATAATAATTTTAGAAATGTATGTTGTAAAAGCTTTTGAATACGTAGGTAAGAATTAAGTTGTTGTTGTTGACTGCCGCTGAGTTGGTTCCAACTCATAGTGACCCTGTATAGAGTTTCAGAGGAGTGGCTGGTGAGTTTGAACTGCCAGTCCTGCTATTCAAATGACCAGTGCTTATTCTAGAGCACCACACCATGACTGAAATTGCTTTAAACTTTAAAAAAGTGATAGACTGATTCCTTTTTTCTTGCTTTAAAAATGAAATAGGTCCTGGAGTTCTTAATGACAGTATGTCTGGAGGAATGCAGTTGCTTCCAGATCCTTTATATTCTCTTCCCACTGATAATACCTACCTTTTAACAATAACTTCCACCGATAATGGCAGAATTTTCTTGGCTGGAAAGGATGGCTGTTTATATGAAGTAGCCTACCAAGTAAGTCTGACATTTATGGTTTTTTTCCTCTTGCTTGATAGAATAGGGATTATTGTTGTTAAGTGCTGTCGAGTCGGTTCCGACTCATAGCGACCCTCTATAGGGTTTCTGAGGAGTGACTGGTGTGTTTGGACTGCCCACCTTGCAGTTCAAACTGACCTTGTGGACCACTGCATTATCCTACAGTGCTACACCATGACTCCACAACGGGGATATATAGGCTTTTGTTAGTTTCTCATTGCATAAGCACATTAATATGTTTGTTTCTTTAAAATACTTTATTATGGTTTGGGTGGATATGAATATATGCTTAATGGAAAATATTCAGACATGCAGCTGAAGTTTAGTCTTCCATGATTACATCATGCCCACAAAACTCAATCCTCTCCCTAGAGGTAAAAGCCATTATCTTACCAGTTTTGTATATATCTTTATATACAAATATATTTACAAATACGTATTTATGTGTGTTTACATAGCATACAAATTCATTTTACTTGGATGATATCATTTTTGTTTCACAACTTGCTTTGTTGTTGTTAAGTGCTGTAGAGTCAATTCCGACCCATAGTGACCCTGTGTAGGATTTCCAAGGAGCAGCTGGTGAGCTTGAACCACTGACCTTGCAGTTCAAATGCCTTTGTAGTCTGATGCATTAGCCCACAGTGCCACACCAGGACTCCACAACTTGCTTTACTCTTAATAAAATAATCTGAAGTCTTTTTCAGTATCTGGTAGATATGTGTTGTTGTTGTTAAGTGCCGTCAAATCAGTTCTGACTCATAGCAACCCTATATAGGGTTTACAGGGATTGCTTGTGGGTTTGAACTGTCGACCTTGCAGTTAGCTGCCCATTGCCTATCCTTCAGCAGCACATCAGGATTCCAGGTTTGCATTCTCTTATAATTGCTGCATAGTTGTACATCCTGTGGATATATCTGGTGTACTTAACACTTACACTCTTGATGAACTTACAGGTTGTTTTCAGTCTTGCCTTATATTTAAATAATGCTGCAATGAATTTTTTTTACAGGCCTCCTTGTAAAATGTATAGATGTTTTCTAGAGTAGTTGTTGTGAAGTGCCGTCGAGTCAGTTCTGACCCATAGTGACCCTGTATAGGGTTTCCGAGGAGCAGCTTGTGAGCTTGAACTGCTGACCTTGCAGTTCAAGTGGCATGTTGTTGTTAAGTGCCATTGAGTCGGTTCCGACCCATAGTGGTCTTGGATAGGGTTTTCGAGGAGCAGCTGGTAAGCTTGAACCTTTCAGTTCAAATGGCTTTGCAGTTGGGCGCATTGACCCACAGTGCCACACACACAAAAATGCCAAAAAAAAAAAAAAATGAATATATGAAATCTATGCTAAACAATAGATTTCCATTATCTTTATATTTCATAAACAATAGCATAGATTTCATATATTCATTGTTTTTGGTATTTTTTTATACTCCAAATTGACTGTTGTTTGATCAGTTTATTTATTTATTTTTCTTCTTCTTTTGTTGTCTTTTTATAAGGTAAAAATTAGAAAATTGAGCTATAGTTAGTACTAGTCAAAAGCTTGGTGGTTTGAATCCACCCAGACTCCCTTTGGAAGACAGGCCTATGATCTGCTTTAGAAAGGTTTGAGGCTTTGCAAACTCTGTGGATCCCTTCTCTGCATACATCAGAACTGACAGTGACAACAATAATTCTCAGTCACATAACTCATTAGTGGAAGACCTAGGATTTGTCGTTATATTACACTGTACCTCTTCCTTTCCCAGTTTCCCTTGGCTTTGTTTACTACTAAAAATGGTTTTGCTACAGATTTGGAAGAACTTAGTCACTGAGAAGAAGACTGTAGACTCTGGTGATGCTGGGTCCTACTGCGGCAGTGTCTGGTTAAGTGGAAACAGACAATACTTTCAGCCTGTGCTGAAAGTGTCTCTGGCACTTACTGTTTTCCTTCTTGTTGATGTTAAATGCCATCAAGTCGGTTCCCATTCATAGCGACCCTGTAGAGCAGGGGTGGGGAAACTTTTTTTACCAAGGGCCATCTGCATAGTTTATAACATCATTCATGAGCCATACAAAATGATCAACTTAAAAATGAGCCTGCTATGATGTGACGACTGGAACGACCATTGCCTTGCCAGTGCCAGCCCAAAGATTTTGTGGGCTTTCTGCAGAATCCTAGTGTGGTGCTGTAGGATAAGTACTGGACCACAGGGTTGGTTTGAATCATGAGGTCACTTGTTCAAACCCAGCAATTGCTCCTCAGAAACCCTGTATAGGGTCACTATGAGTCAGAGCAGTTCGATGGCGCTTAACAACAACAATAAAAAGGCCCAAGGGCCAGATGTTTCCCACCTCTTCTGTTGTAGGTTTCTGAGGAGTGGCTGGTGGGTTTTATCCACCAACCCTGTGGTTATCAATCCAGTGCTTATCCCAAAACACCACATCAGGACTCTTTACTGCTTTAAAATATTGTTGTTAGGTGCTGTTGAGTTGGCTCTGACTCTTAGCAACCCTGTGCGTAACAGCTTTAAACCCTGCCCAGTCATGCACCATACTTGTAATTTATGTTTGAGCCTATGGTTGCTGCTACCATATCAATCCATCTCCTTGGTGGTCTTTGTCTTTTTCACTGACCCTAGCTGATGTCCTTCTCTAGAAACTGGTCCCTCCTGACAACATGGCCAAAGTATTAAGAGACAAAGTCTCACCATCCTCTCTTCTAAGGAGGCTGTGTTTCTTCCAAGACAGGTTTGTTTGTTCTTCTGAGAGTTCACAGTGCTTTTAGTATTCTTTGACGACACCTTCATTCAAATGCATCAGTTCTTCTAGTCTTCCTTATTCTTGCCCAACTTTCACCTGCATATGAGGTGATTGATAATACCTTAGTCTTCAAAATGACATCTTTGCACTTGAACACTTTAAAGAGATCTTTTACAACAGATTTGTCTATTGCAGTATGTCATTTGATTTCTTGACTGCTATTTCCATGAATGTTGATTGTGAATCCAAGCAAAATAGTCTTTGATAGCTTCAATCTTTTCTCCATTTATCATGATGAATGGATTTTAAAATGGAAATTTGAAATTAATTAAAATACGAAGGGACTTGAAAAAATTAATGGGAAAAATCCATTATCTTACTATTTTACTTTTCCACAAGTTTCTAAAGTCCCCCTCATATGTGTTTATTTGCAGTACTTTCTAGGTTGTTGGGATAGGCATACCTGATTTCATCAGCATTTATTTCATTATGACTGAATACGTTTGCTATTTTTAGTAACACAAGTCAGCTGTAGATCTTGCTTTATTTATAATCATTGGCATTTTGTGAAAAATTGAAAATCCTTATAAGCATGAATATATAAAGAGGCTTTAAAAAGTTAAAGGAAAATTTCCATTATCTTTATATTTCATTTATCCAAGATCTTTTTGAAGCCTCTTCGTATGGTAGTTGATATGAGAGAGGTACGTCTTCTTATTTCTGTTAATCTTTTTCTTTTAAGGCAGAAGCAGGTTGGTTTAGCCAAAGATGCAGGAAAATAAACCACTCAAAGAGTGCACTTTCCTTCCTTGTTCCTTCCTTGCTACAGTTCACATTTTCAGAAGATGGTAAGAAAACAAAACCAAATTTTAAGTTAATGGTGACATAACATTTTCTTTAGAAATTCTCATGTATAATTGAAGCAGTTTGCCATATTCGGTAGCTTTTGTTTTATATTCATAAGATATTGTAAAAGTGAAGGAATTCTGTAACATCAAGAGATATATTTTTTTTCAAGGTACTTAGTTATTGTATATTTAACATCAGGAAATGTGTCGAAGACATCTGTGCATACTTAAAAACATGTATGTATGAGAGAGCATTGGACGTGAAAGTTGATCCTCATTATTCCTGGATTCTATATTCATAAATCCACCTATTGCTAAAATTCCATTTTTAATGCCAAAAATCAATGCTTGTAGTGCTTTCATGGTCATTTGTGGGCATGCACAAAGTTGTGGAAAATTTAGAGTTCCCAGTGTGCACATTCCAGCTCTGGTTAAATAAGTTGATGCTCTGGCTTGTTTTAGCTCTCACACTCAAAGAAGTATCCTTTTCTCAGACTGTTTAGTGCTACATTTTTCTCATTTTTGTGCTCTTTGTTGATAGTTTTGCTTGTTTGAAGTAAATGCACAAGCATAGAGCTGCAGTGCTGTGTAGTGTTCCTAAGCCCAAGAAGACCGTGATTATGTGTCATGGAGAAATATGTGTGCTGTACATATAGGCTTTCTCCAGGCAAGAGTTAGAGTGCTGTTTACCGAGTGTTCAGTGTTAAGGAACCAAGAATATATAGGAAATAGTGTGCCTTTAAACAAACATGCATAAAGCAAGATTATGTGTACTTAGTTGATGAAGATGTTCAACGCAGACGCACAGGAACCCTGACCCTGTATTTAAGCTAATGCAGTGGTTCAGTAGTTGCTAATTCATTCGTCAGGCTGAATGTTATGCGATCAGTTAAGCACTCAGAACTATGCGTAATGAGAATCAACTGTATGTGTTTTCTTGGCTGATAACACATTTCTTAGTAAAATGAATATATCTGATTTTTTAATTAACTGATAGATTTAGGCAATTGAATTAATCTTTTTAAATGTCTTAGCAAATAGGTTATGTACCTAAAATTATCCTTAATATGACTTATTTTTTGTTACTTCTCTTCACATCTGGAAACTTGTTGAAGGAAAGAGCCAGATTATAATTAATCTCTGTGCTCTTAGTATATAGTAAATATTTGTTAAATGAATGAATATTCTAAAACTTATTTTTGATGTGACTTAAAACTCTTTTATAGATGAGAATAGCTGATTTGTGATGCTCTTAACCCAGGCATTGTATTTGACATGTTTTTTTCACATGACATTTGACTAAATGTTATCTGGCCTGCTTCTTAAGCAAATATTTTAATGCTTATCCTCAAAACAAGAGTAAAGCCCCTGAAAGCAACATTCTTATTCAAAACTTAAAATTTGTTATAAGTAGTTCCAAGATTTGTTTCGTTAACTCTTTTTTTCTTTATTACTTTTAGATCCTATTGTTCAAATTGCAATCGATAATTCTAGAAATATTTTATATACACGATCTGAGAAAGGTGTAATACAGGTAAGTATTAATATTATGCTAGCATTTAAGTGGCAGACAGATAAATCCTTGTTTTTAAGGAAGAAGATTCAATCGTTCATAGATTTTTTTTTTTTCCTGTGGTTTTTAAAAGCATCCTAAACTATCTCATGGAGCCTCTGGTTATAAGATTTGCAGTGTCAGCATTTCTATACATGTATGAAGTATCAAGATTAAAAGAATCCCTAAAATGAGAAAATAGTTTAATAAAATGTATGCGGTATATACAGGTGTGTTTAAGTGAGTTTAATTGTTCATTCACAGGTTTATGATTTGGGCTACGATGGACAAGGAATGAGCAGAGTTGCTTCCGTTTCACAGAATTCTATTGTCTCTGCTGCTGGAAACATTGCTAGGTAATAAGTAACTCCTCATCAGATATTTATTTCATTGGCAGGCAATTCAACTATTTATATGCTGTTTACATGCAGTATATACTCTAAATAAAAGATCATTTAAAAATATTAAAAAGCAAAGATGTTATCTTG